ATGCCGTGCTCTGTTTTCCCTTTGAGTCTAACTATAAGTTGATGGTGTTTGTCTCACGTCTGCTCTCTTACTAAATTATCTCTCAGCAGCAGAGCTTGCTCAAGCCATCTAAATAAAACCCCATTGTATGTATTCGTTTAATTGTGTATTCAAAAATATTTATTAAATGACTAGTCTAGGTCATGGTAGACACTAGCCAGTATCCATACTGATATTTTTATGTGTATGGTAGCTCATCATATTGTATAATTACTATTTAATATTTTATTGGTATGGGTTCAGAGGCAATTCTTTTTTAGATCTTGAGATCTAGAGATCTTGAGATTATAATATAATTCCATCATTTCTCCCTTCTAAAAATCTTTGAAACTTGCCCCAAACCCTTCCATATACTTTTTCTTGCTCTTTGTCAAATTCATGGCCTCTTTTCTTCTCACTAATTACTGCTTACATGCATATATGTATACTTATATACATATATGTTAATAAATGCATCCTTTTCAGTATGTAAAATGCTACTCACGTGTATGTTTTCAGGGCTGACCATTTGGTATTAGATAACCAGTTGGCATGCTCTTCCCTGGACAAGACTATTTCTTCTACACTCAGCATTCCTCAGTTACTTGCAGATCTTGGTGTAGGGCTGAGATCTCATGGGCTTCTCCCTGTCTGCTTTCTAGATCTTTTATACAGAATATTAGAGTAAAAGTGTAAGGGAAATAGATAGAACTCCTTTAGATTGTATTTTTAATGCAGACTTGAATAATTATGGTACACTAGACATCAGTTCAGAATAATAAAATCTGTAGAAACTAATAGAGTTCTTTCTGAGTTAATTATAAAGACCTGTTTGAGATTTGTGACTTTCACTTTGTTCTGAGTTTTGTATCAAATGCTGCAGAAGTAGTGACTGATCATTTTTTGCTATTGTTGTTTTTTCCAGACAGGGTTTCTCTGTGTAGTTTTGGTGCCTGTCCTGGATCTCACTCTGTAGACCAGGCTGGCCTTGAACTCACAGAGATCCACCTGGCTCTGCCTCCCGAGTGCTGAGATTAAAGGCGTGAGCCGCCACCACCGCAGCCGCCGCCGCCGCTACCACCACCACCACCACCCCCGGCGTAACTGATCACTTTATAGAAGAAAATGATACTAGATTCCCAATGCTGTATAACAAACTATCACAAACAGGGTGGCTTTCAACAAAGCAAATAATTAATTTCTAATGCTGTAACCAGAAATCCAGGCGTTCTATGTCTGAGTTTCTACTTTGTCATATGGAATTCAAATTCCTCTTCTAAGTTCACAGAGTTGTGGCAGAATGCAGTTACTGGAAGGCAACAATTACCTGTTTCTTGATTGGTTCCTGTTCTCAGATTTGAGAGGTGACTTATATGGTTTAATCACCAGGCTCTTTTTTTATCAAGCGCAGGAATAGAGGCGCTTTGTTTTAGTGTTGCTGTTAAAACAGTAAATTTATCTCTTCAAGTCTCTTCTTCACTCTTCTGTAACAGCCAAATAAATGCTCGACTTTTGAAGAACTCATGGTCAGGTCCACTGGTTATCCTTTGATTTTAAATTTATGGGTTTGAACTCTTAATTATAGTAACAGTGTTACTTCATTTCTATCCCTGGGTCAATGTTTGGTAAAACAAGAAGATACTGGATATACAAACAACCTTGCAGAAACCTTTACGTATAAGGAGAGAAGTTGACCAAGATCATTATCTCTCCACTTCCTTCAAATTCTCAGAGTCAATGATTTTGTCATTCATTTCCCTGTCTTTTGGATTTAACCAGCAATGCAGAGATAAAAATCAGATCTCACTCTTCTGCTACCGTCTTACTTCTTTCCTTGACAAATAAGGATTCTGTGAATTTTCCTTTTTCCTGTTGAATAATTAAATGCTAGACTTGTTAAAATGCCCTTTTGAGCCTTTCCCTGTCAAACTTTGGTAGCTTTTCATTGCAACACAAACTATTTGTAAGTCCCTCACAGAAAGTCCCCAAGTTATTGTGCAATTCTTCTCTTTGTTGTTGTTAGAACTAGATCAAACTTGACTTTTAGCATCTCCACCATTACCACCTGAGAAATTCTGTCCCGCATGCTGACTCTTCTCTGAAAACTTCTCTTGACTCCCTAAGACATGTATACTTACCTGCTTTATGTAAGAAGGTTTTAAGATATGTTCTATGTTCAGGTGACCTCAGTTAAAAATGAGTCACTGAAATGTTTGAATAAGCCATGGAATTGCTAAGAGCTAATTCTAAAACTGCTTCTTCTATATTTCCTTAGAATGTTTTCTCTGATTGCTTTTCTTTATAATATGTAAAGATAAAACATATTGTGTTATAAGTAGCATGTCAAATATTTTATTGAGTATACATTATTTTTAAAGTAATGTCCTTATGCAATAAAATTTGATGTTAAACATTATTAAAGTGATCAGCAGAAGCAGATTCTGTGTCTTTAAATAATATAACAATGTTTTCCAATAATGTATGCCTTCTATTATCTGTAGTTTGATGCCAATATATAGATAATTGGTCTATAAATGATTTAGTAAAAATTTAAGAACCAAATCAAAAGGGTTTTATTAGCTCTCAGTAGCACAAATGTCATGAGTAATTAAAAATTTTAAGACATGAAGCCTATCTACCTTTCCACAGAACTCCAGACTTACATATATGTCTACCATTTCTATTTCCTTTTGGGTATCTGAGAGGCGTTTTAGAGTTACCATACTGAAAATAAAAGTTTGTTCTTTCTCCCGAATCTTACTCCTTCCACAGAGCTCCTATCTTTTGATTTATTCTCATCGTTCAGTTTGCTCAGTACCAAGGTCTAGGCACATTCATTTCTCCTCCCTTTTCTCACACCTTCCAAGTCACACAGGAGTTAATCCTGTCCTCTCTCCTTCAAGAAATATTTGAGATCTGAAAGCTTCTTTTTTCCTACTCCTGCTACCATCTGGGTCCTGGCCACTGGGGCCTTTTGCATTGACATTACAAAGCCTACACATTCATTTCCCCATCCCCATCATTGTCCCCTTCAGTCTATCTTAACTCAGTAGCACGAATGGTTCTGTGGAAACATGCTGGAGCCTGTCAGTCCTCTGCTGATGGGAAAGCCATAACAATACTCTTCAATAATGTACACACTCTGGCCTGCAACTCTCAGATCTTCCCTCCCGCTAGTCACTCCTCGCTCCTTGTTATTTTGCAGAAAACTGAAGCATCATCCCATGATAGGCACTTTTATCATGGTTTCCTTCATTAGAGGTATTCCTCCTTGAAATATTTATATAACTCCCTCCCTTTCTTTTTTCGGGAACTTAATATCTTTTCATTTAACATGTCATTATCTATGAAGCCTTCTTTCATTATCCCATTGCCTATTTTTTCTACATCAGTGATTGCCTTCCAATATAGCATATTGCCGGGCGGTGGTGGCGCACGCCTTTAATCCCAGCACTCGGGAGGCAGAGCCAGGCGGATCTCTGTGAGTTCGAGGCCAGCCTGGGCTACCAAGTGAGTTCCAGGAAAGGCGCAAAGCTACACAGAGAAACCCTGTCTCGAAAAAAGAAAAAAAAAAAAAAAACAAAAAAAAACAACCAATATAGCATATTAACATTATCTGTATATTTTAAGGTTTATATATATATATATATATATATATATATATATATATATGAATGTTCTGTGTGCATGTATGTATGTATGTGTGTGTATGTATGTATGTATGTGTGCTGCATGAGTCCCTTGTGCATATGGAGACTAGGAGAGGGCACCAGATCTCTAGAAACTGCAGTCAAGGAAGGTGGTAAGCAAATCTGTGGGTGCTGGGAAGAGAACCAGGGTCTTCTCAGGGAACAAAATGGTATTTTAACCACAGAGCCATCTCTCCATTCCCCACCTTATTTGTATTTTTAATTGTACATATTCTTCTTCAATATAAATTTCACTGAGCAAAGAACTATGTCTAGGTTTGTTTACTATATTTTTGGTACCTACAATATTATCCATACTCGTAGATTATCTTTACATATTTATCAAATATTTTACTAATTTGATGTATTTAGGAATGAGTGAGTTTTCTGAACATGTATTAACTTTAATTTTCATCTGAATATTAGCATAATTTAAATGAATCATGCAATTTTCAAAGGTCATAATCATTCTTTTTTATATCATCTTAGCAAAGGATATTGAAGGTATGCATGAGCACTCATGGTTGAGAACAGTTCCAATCCTACTTAGCCTATTGATCTTTCATATTTCTAATTATAATATGCTTTTATTACTTTTCCAATACATTGCCTTTAAACACATGGGCTTTAGTGTATACTAATTCAGTGGATACTGATTCCCCAATAGTGGGCTCCGAGTCTGATTAATGGTTCCTAGTTAGGAAATTAAAGTATTGTAGGGCTCCTACTAAGATCACACCATTGTGACAATATATGGTTACTCTAATCTGTACAGTAATGCTAGTGTGTTGGGTGGTATTACAGAAAGTGTCAATTTCCATTATACATAATATAAATGATGTTATAGTTAATTACATGAATTCATTAAGTAAGCTTATTTATTTAAAACAGTTTTTAATCAAAACTTCCAATATAAAGAATGTGCCTATTGCTTTCTAGATAAATAAATAAACAAAAATCTTCCTTAGGAACAGAACATTAAAAATTCAGGCTATATCTAGGGAAGCTCAGAGGATGATGTAAGCATATGATTATCTTTGAATTAATAAATTTTTCTATGCAAATCCAGAGTGCTTTTCTATAACCATTTCAGAGAGGGTTGTACAGGAAAACTAGAAATGAAAAATAACCAAAATGTTTTTCCCCTTCCGTTTTGAAATGAGGGCCCCCAAAGAATCAACAAGAAATTCTGCTCATTAAAGTATGAAGATAATGATATGAGTGCTGTTGTCACGTGACTGATCTCCACAGGTTGCATTATAATAGTTTGTAACTTTTCCCTTTAATTTTTAGTTCCCAGTGTTCCCACAAATATAGCTATTTCTAATGTTCAGTCAACTAGTGCAACACTAACATGGATAAAACCTGATAGTATCCTTGGATATTTCCAAAATTACAAGATAACCACTCAACTGCGTGCTCAGAAGTGCAGAGGATGGGAATCTGAAGAATGTGTTGAACATCAAAAAGTTCAATTCATCTATGAAGCAAACTTAACAGAAGAAACAGTGTATGGATTAAAGAAATATAGATGGTATAGATTTCAAGTGGCTGCCAGCACCAATGCTGGGTATGGCAACGCTTCTAATTGGATTTCTACACAAACGCTGCCTGGTCGTAAGTACTGTCATGACTTATTTATTCATACTGCTTTCTGTTATGTTATGTCTGTGTTAATAATTTCTACTTATTCCATTGTGTAAAAATCACCAGATGGGAAAATAAATCATTATGCAAACCAAGTTATGCAACAACGTATTTGTTTTTAATTTAAACAGAAATGAATATAAAATTAAATTTCAGTGATTGTTAGAGCTTTTTATATACCCCTAGAACCTGTGTTAGCATCTAGAGTCTTATATTACAACAAGGAATTATGGGAACACTCTCTGTGGAATACCATTAAGCCATATTGATTAGCCATATGCTGCTCTGGAGTGGTGTCTACACTTTCACTTCAATTATATTGGTTTGGGGGCTTTTAAATGGAATTCTCAATTTTTTTATTGACTTCAGACCCACACAAACATACATAACATGAACCCTGTAAACGTGATGACCCTAATAGATGTGAGTCTCTGGGAAAATAATGTAAAGTATCTGATACTCACCTGAAGATAGAAGAAGAAAAATAATATAAAAAAGCATAATCTCTCACAATAATATCTACAGTTTAGCACTTTTATATTCAGGGAGAAGTCATAAATTTTTTTCTGGAAATCATTGAGTATACATAGATAAAGATTGTTCTTGAACTTAAGTTTCATATCTTAAAATAACTGGCCAACCCATTTACTTAAAAAAACATTAACACCCATGATTCAGTAAATCAATTTCTATTATTTATTCCAACTCCTGTTCTCATAGAAGTGTGAAGATTTCCATGAAATGTAAATAACTTCCAAGTCAAATTTTAAATGCCGCATTTATGGAGATGTTCTCTGAAAAGCTGTTTTGGGCCCAGTCCTACCTCTTCAGAGTCAACATAGCTGCTCACACCAGCACTATTCAATGTAATAAGTCCTCCTTCTTAGTTACTTTATACACAGTAACAAAATACCTGACCAAAGTGATTTAAGAAAGAAGGCACTTAATTTAGCATATTGTTCCCCAGAGATATAAAGCCCACAAGTGGGGAAGGTATGGTGACTAGTGTGCCGATGACTGGAGCAAGAACAGGAAGTAGGCCAGGCTATAAACCCCCCAGGACCCGCCCTTCGGTGAGGTACTTACTCCTGAAAGCCTCTTTTCGCTAAAGGTTCCACAATCTTCCCAAAAAAGTCCAGTAGCTGGTCATGAAATATTCAAACATGGACTGGTCAGGAACATTTTATATTAAAAGACAACACTCTTTAAATACGGAGTTTGTATCGTTCCTCTCTTGATCAAGCCTCGTTTTAGGGATTCTTTTCAAATTAAAATTAAATTTCCCTGAAAGAGTTTGTTCTTATTAGCAAACAGACAGACAGGCAAAGACTGACAGACAAGCAAAGACTGACAGACAGACAGACAGACAGACACACACACACACACACACACCCACACACACACATGATTTTTAGTGACAAATGGATTCTGTTGTAGGTCTTTATAGCAAGTATAATAAGCTTTTATCTAGAGCATTCTTTGGTCTCCTGAATGTGTCTTTTGTTACAGTTCCCTGGAATGCCTGGCGTCATTTTTATCATAGTGATTAACACATGTTGTTTAGTGTAATTCTGCACTTGACGTAGAAACCCCAAAACTCAAGCTTTCAACACACGGCTTATCCCAGTCCTTTTCTATTATACTTCGGCTTTTCTGGAAGACTTTCCCCTGGATTTTTTGATTGGTCTTTTTTTCCTGACCTTCCTATCAGTCCTTTCTTAGTCTCGCTTGCGAATTTTTCCTGCCCTGTCTTATTAATTCTAAATGTTGGAATACCCAGAAATCCATACTTGTCCTTTTCTTTAATATTACAGAGCATCTAGGAGCTCTTACATTAGTAGCTTTCTTCTGTCCTATAGCTTTAAGTCTACTTACATATTGATTATCCTCAGTTTTCTACTTATAGTCCCAAATGCTTCCAAGAACTGTAGATCAGTATATTTTTACGACTGATAGTATTAGGCAGGTATGTCCGATAAACCTCTTGAAATAAGTACAATCTAAACACCAAATCTCCCCATATTTATCCTTTGTTATCTTCATAGATACTATTATTGATTTGCTCACAGAAAATGAAAATCCAGATAGTGTTCCTTTGCTCTTTCATCTGTCCACGACTAATTTAACCAAGTGAGCTATCTTGAGTGGCTACTTAAACTTGAGACCGACTTTTTAATCCTAAAATAGCTGACTTGTAACCACTTTGCCTTCCCTTTAGCTCCCATTTATGCTATGATATTTTTACTGCTAAAATTCCCTATTTTTTTTTGGTTTTGGATGAAATGCTATACCTTGTCTTTCTTAGCATGACCAGAAGAAAATATTTATATAATCATCTATTTAATGATTCATGTTTAGACTTATTCACGACAACTAAATCTAAAACAGCCATGTAGTTATTTTTTCAGCACTTTTTTATTATTTAAATTTTTTCATTTTACATGCCAACCCCTGTTCTCCCTCCCTCCCCTTCTCTCATCCTGCCCCCTCTCACCTCCCCCTTAACCTGCCCCCATCACCTCCTCATAGATCGTAAGGCTTCCCTTGGGTAGCCAACACAGGCTGGCATACTACTTTGGGGCTGGACCAAGTTTTTATAGCACTATCTTCAATTGAATAAATAATTACCTAGCTATTTTAAAACTGTCTGTTGATTGTTACTGTTACCTTATTAGCTGGGATAATTTCTGATAAAAGTAGATACTCCATAGGCATTTCTCAAACAAATGAAAGTTGACTGAATAATCTATAGTTGATAAGGGAGAAGGAATTGTTGTCCAATGTAGGTGATAGTTAAGATGCCAGTGCTAAAACAGAGAGAGGGAGGGAGAGAGAAAGAGAGAGAGAGAGAGTGAGAGAGAGAGAGACAGAGACAGAGACAGAGACAGAGACAGAGAGAGAAATGAAATGTGGAAACCAATTAGATTCATTTTTGGATTAGTTGATGAGAATAGTTATTTTAAATGGATTATTTAAGAAGACATTGCTATGCTTTTTAATTTTTTGATAATTTTGAATACAAGTACTATATTTACATCATTTCTAGTCCCCCTTCTTCTTCTTTCAATGACTGCAGTATTCTTCCTTTCAAATCCATGATCTCCTCTTCCATAATTCCTGAATTATTATTACACACACACACACACACACACACACACACGCACGCACGCACGCACGCACGCACGCACGCACGCACGCACTCACGCACACACACACACACACACACCACTGATTCCATTTACTGTTGCTCTTATGTATCTGTGTTTAGGGTTGACCACATGGGATTAGGTAATCTATCAGGATGCTCATCTCTGGAGAAAACTGATTCCCCCTCTCAGCAGCTGCTGATTGCCTATAGCTCTTCATTTAGAGGTGACACCTTGTGAAATTTCCCCATCTTCGTTGGCATGCCAACTGGTTGCCATTATGTTAATCGTGCTTAGACAACCACATTCTTGAGATTTTATTAATGCAGCTTCCCTATCATGTCTTTTTTTTTAGGTGATGTATTTACTTATTAACTATCCTGCATCAATTTATTAATCACTCAAAAGAGTCTGTGTCATTTCATCTCCATGAGTATGTTTCCATATTTCTCAGCACATCAGTTAGTCAATCAACAAATCATTGAAAAGTTTATCATCCTTTGCTACCCGCAGCACATCACTATACACTTGCAATTAGCTTTATTGTATATTCTACATGAAAATTTATTTTTATCCAGTGCCAGCCCCATGACTCCTCTTCAGTTACAGGGAGAAAAGCATGTTACGCTTTCCCATTTTATTTATTCATTCATTCATTCATTTATTTATTTATTTATTTATTTATTTATTTATTTATTTATTTATTTGTTTGTTTATTTATTTATTTATTTATTTATTTAGGTTTTTTGACACAGGGTTTCTCTGTGTAGCTTTGCGCCTTTCCTGGGACTCACTTGGTAGCCCAGGCTGGCCTGGAACTCACAGAGATCCGCCTGGCTCTGCCTCCCAAGTGCTGGGATTAAAGGCGTGCGCCACCACCGCCCGGCTGAGTTCCCATTTTAATACATTCAGAGTTAATTTGGTTTTACTAGTGTAGACGCTAAAGTTCTTCCAATATTTTTATCTCCAAGTTAATACAATTAACCTGTAAAAGAAGTCTCAGTGTCCAGATTTACTTAGCAGATTCTCCAAAGAACTGGTACAGAGGATTCCTTTACTCTCCCACCTGTAACTGTGTATAGCTCACTGGAGAAAATTGTGTGTGGAAAAGATATCCAACCTGACTGCCGTATCCTGTCTTTAAGACACTATCTCATATAAGGCATCCTGGTCCTGCAGTTCTTAGAACCTTCCGACCCCTCTACCATGGTGTTTCCTGACCCTTAGGGACAGGGTTGCAGCATACATTTAACCACGTGGGTTTGGGCACCCCTTGCTCGCCTGTTCTTCGCATTTGGGCCAGTTGTGAATGTTCTGTAATAATCACCATCTGAGGCCAAAAGAAACTTCTTGGATGAGAGAAGAAGTGTAGCAACTATGGGTATGATGATAAGTATTCAGACTACTGTTCGAAATTCTTTTGGTTTAGGAAAATGGCAATAATAGCTTTTCCTCTCAGAGGTCTATGACCTCTGCCGTCACAGCAAAACTGAAAGCATAAAGAAATAGACAGGTAAAGATGAAATCGTTGGCAAAGCTATGACCTAAGGTGCTTCCACTGATAGGAGTAGGCAAAATGACAAACTAAATTTTGACAGAAAGTGGAACGTTCCACGTAACGAAGAAACTTTATAGCCTGGGAAACTGTGTGTTATTGGAAAGAGTCTCACACAGAATAAAGTGGGCGGATCTAAGACAGTTGAAGGATAGGAACAATGTAAAAGGAGCAGAGAATGTGTTATCTAAAGGCCGTGTTTCCTCTGGTCCATCTATTAGGTCCTCTGATGTTTGGTAGGGAATAGCAAGGATAGATATTTTTAAGTG